AAAAAGTAAAAGTGAAGAATACAAAGAACTGCCAACCAAAAATCCCCCCCCCCAAAAAAAACTTTTTTTTTAATTTATTTTTCAATTTCTCTTCTCAACCTTTTATGTTTTTGATTTTTTATAATTCTTTAACATGATCTTTTTGAAAAAAAAAAAAAGGGGTTGCAGGGATTAAAAATCCGTACAACCCCCTATTTGTTTTTTTTTTGGCTTAATAAGTTAATATTAAATAAATTAGGAAAAATACGGTAAATTCACGTCCATGGCGCGGACGAGGCCAGCCGCGGACGCGGCCATATATGTGGCCGCTCTCCGAGCTCGACCCTGCGGACGTGTCCGCGGGTGTTTCGTAGCCTACGACTGCAAGGCCAGGTTGCAGCGTGGGGGACATAGCCTCACTCCACACATCGATCCGGTCATGCATGCGTTCAGGCCAATAGGACAGAGGAAGAAGTACGCGCGCACGAAGACACCACAAAAGGTACCAAGAGTGAGGGAATTACAGTTGCAATTATGCCCGCCAAAACAAAAATTACAGTTATACTCAGGATTAAGGCGCGGAGAAATCAGAGCACAGATCTTGACGTGGCATGGCGTGCACAAGGAAGAAGTGCGGTGCAGCAGAAATTGAGGGACGCCTAAATTCCTAATTCTAATTCCTAGTTGCAAAAAATAATTTCCGAATGAAGCAATTCCCGAGAGGCCGTGAGGGCTCGACATCAGTTGAAAATTCAAAAAGATTTTCCCGCGCCACTATCGCGCCAAAAATTCCCCATTCCCACAGCAGAATAAGAAAGAAGCTATGGCAACAGTTATTCGTCGCGCTCACTTAGGCGCGATCAACTACCAACCGTCACGGAACTAGGCCAGCCCTCCTCCCTTTCCGAAAGGACGCGAAAGCACAAGGACACGTAAGGCAAGGGCATCCACGCAATTCACCAGGCCATCCCGACTCAACCCGTTTCAATCCCCGACGTAGCCTCGCGCAGAAGATCGCGCGGTTGCAGAAAATAGTTCGTCACAGAGATCCTACCCGAAGGCCAATCGAAGACCACCACCAATCCGGCACGTACGATACCCACCCATCTGTACTGGGTGACAATCCACCCTACCCCTCCCTCTACCCCTACCAGTGACAAATCCCGTCTCCCAAGGGCAAACCATATGCTGGGACCTGGTACCACGT